GGGGGGTTCAGACATGCTGTAAGGCTCTGCATCGCTGCTTGCCAAGCTCTGCTCTTCAGCAGGCTCGGCTCACGGGACAGCACTCGTGCCAAGCCCAGCAGAGGCTGTTTGCAAAGTCTCCGGCTGCAGACCGCTCCGAGGGGCTCCACGGGACGGGAGCATCGCAGAGCCGTGCTGCTCAGCCCCATGCTGCATGGTTGGCACGCCCCACAAACCCCCGACCCCCGTGTCCAGCACCGCAAGCTGCAGCTGGAAGCAAAACCCGCCGGAGATGAGTGACCTACGTGTGTGATGGATCCTCGGTAGGTGATGGGCGACTCCGGAGGGGGTCTGGATGTGGGCGTTCCCTTGGTGATGCTTCCTCCCGAGGCAGAGCTGAGGGAAGTACCTGTAGGACACAAAGCCAGTGAGCTGGGGGCTGGATTTACCGTTCAGCACAAAACCTGTGGGGCTGACACTACTGACTAAGTGCAGGATTCGACCCAATCTCTAGCAAGCTGAGATACTGGAGGGGAAGCCCTCCAAGAGATGTCAGTGTTAAATCCCACACCTTGCAGAGCCCTTTCCACCCCGTCCCCTGAGGGACCCAGCCCTGTGAGTATGGGGCTGGGAGGTGGAAAAAATGGGTATTTTGAGGCTGTCAGCTCCTTGCTGCCTTCATAGAAGGGCCGGGCAGATTTACGGGCCCGGGAGAAAGTACAGCCTGTCTCAGCCTCTCCCAATGCCATCAGAGCAGATCTCCGGCGAGATGCAGCGTGGGGTGGTTTGAGTTCATTTGTGTGTATCTGTCCTAGGTTGGAGCCAGCCCACTGCACTCAGGCTTCTGACTGCCTTAGTTGGGGGGTTTCACAAACCAGAATTTGCACTTAAAAGCAACACTTCTACATTTATTTTCTTCTGCCTAGCTAATGGGGAAAGAAACATGGGAGGGCTATGCTTAAATGAAATGTGGTCCCTTCCCAGCTGCAGCAGCCTGAAAAAAACAATTAATGGAATTTGAACAGGTCTTGCTTTGTTTTAAGCAGATTTTCAGGTGCCCCTTGAACATAAAACCTCCACCAGGATCAACACCCAAGGCCCTGATCTGGGGAGATGGCTAGAAACATTGAGACATCATACAGATAGATCTGCCACCCCGCAGGCAACACTGGAGAAAAGGGGCAAAGAGACCCCTTCGGCTGGGCACAATCCCCGAAATCAAACCTGCCATCACCAGGCAGCCGCAGCCAGCGTGGCGTTCGCCAGGCTTGGCAGTGCCAGCATCCCTCCCCTCCCACAGCTGGGGCACATGCCTCCCGCCTCAGCTCCTCACCCCGCAGGATGGAGCCCTCCTGGGATGGCTGCAGAACCAGACTTTCCGGCTGGCTGGCCTGGCTTCTAGGAGAAAGTTGTTCCTGCTTTACTCCAGGAAAAGGCACTGGAAAAAATTAATGACGTATCAGTGTAGGTGCAGGGCACGGGGCCACAGCCTTCAGCTGCTTGAGGCTTTCATCTCTGCCAGCCCCGGGTTTGCACCTTCTCGGTGCCTTTGCTGTCCCCACCGCTTTGGGACGGACTTCACCAAGGCTGCAGCAGTTGGCTGAATGCACAACCACCGGTGAGCAAAGCCAGATCCTTTGCCCTGGCAAAGGCGCTGCTGGGTGCTGCCCACACCAGGAATGGGGCTGGCGTTGAAAACCCAGTGCTGGTTTATAACAGGACAGGCACACAGCGGGAAACAGGGCCCATATCCCTCCCACCCAGACTGGGTCCCTCGCCCATCCCCTCCTGCTGTTAAGAATTGCTTCCAAATCTGCAGACTAAACACTTTCTTTGTTCACTTCAGGCCATTTACTCTTTATCCTACCAGCTTGGCGAGCAGCAATATATTTCCTTCCTTCGATCACAGTATTAGCCAGAGGGTATTTATAGGCTGGGATGCATCCCTGGCCGAGTTGCTGCTTTCCTATACTGCACAAATTTAGCTCCCTGTGTCTCTGTTCTCCCGATGGACTAAATCCTTTCATTCTCTCAGCAGGTCCCTCTATGCTCCCTTGCTGTGTCCTGCACTCCTCCTTTCCTCTATGCTGCTGGCAAGCTTGCTCCCTGCTGCTCTTGGAGCATGTGAGAAGTTAATCGCCCCCAATTCCTTACCCAGTTTCTTGGGATCCATGGTCAGCGGCAGGCCCATGGTGATGGAGCCGACGGGGACCTTGGCGTGCTCGGAGCTGTAGGGTGTGTGGAGCTGGATGGGCATGCCCTGCGGTGCAAGAGGAGACGTCAGGAGCAGCTGCTGGCCCCTGCGAGGCGTCTCTGCCGCTCACACCCGATACCCTACCTGGGAAATGGATCCGACGGGTCTCTCCAGCACGGAGGGGTGCTTGGTGGAGGAGATGAGGGGAGGAGGGTTGGAGATGCTCGCTAGTCTCTGCAGCCCCGAGCGAGAGCTCTCATGTAGGTTTAGCGGGATGGGGTGTCCTGTGCGAAAAACATAAGTGTTAGTGGAGGGAAGGCAGAGTGGCTGCAGCTATCAGAGAGAAAAGGGGCAAGGGAGGGAGCAGGGGCTGGATGCAGTGAACTGGCCGGCTGTGAGCCTGCACTAGGATCCAAGTCACACGATCGTTTTGGAAAGGACTGGAATAGTTTAAATGACTGCCTCGTCCCCTCTGCAGCCTGAGGATGTTCTGCGCCCGACTTGTCTGCCCTCCAGCCAGAGACGGACAGCGCAGCGAGGGATAAAACCTGCCCAACTTCACACCGAGGGCAGCGTATGGAGCACCCACACAGTTCTGCAATAAACCATGTCCCTAAACCTGCCCTGGCCAGAGCTGGGAGACCCGCCTGGCCACCCTCAGACCACCGCATTAGCAGCGAGGGAGCTCCGTGCCAGGCCAAAGCAAGGTGTATTGACTTAAGAGCACGACCTGCGATGCCAGCTACAACCACAGCCTCTGTGCTTGGCCCCGCGTCAGGATGAAGGGCACACGCCACGCAGCCAGCGGCTTTTACTTGCCTGGTGGGTTATACTGAAACAAGTGGGGCTCTGCCTGGGGAGAGGTCTTTATCACATCCCGGGAGTAGGACAGGACGGGGGGCCAGCACGAGGCAGCCATCGGCTCTGTGCTCAGCTTCTGAGCCTCTGCGATGGATGAGAAATGCATGGACTTTTCTGCAAGGGAAACAGAAAGCAACCAGCTTGCTCAGTGGCCTCCATGGGCGAGCGGTCCCTGCGGGCATGGGCAGGGAAGCCAGAGCCAGCTCCCAGCATGGGAAGTGGCTTCAGTTCAGTCTGACCTGGCCATGAGATGAGGCCTGAAGTCCCCAACCAAACTTAAAAGAAAAAGCCTCAGTGTCATTGGCGGGATTTACAGCATTTATTTTACTCAGATGCTTAAGGCGCAGCGGGGAGGATGGATGTCCGTGTTGGTGGCTCTACTGGTGCTCACTGCCAGCCAGTCACTGGGACGAGCACAGGGTCCAGCTCCTCGCCAGGGCTTGGCCACGTGCAAACCACTCCTGGGCAGATCCTGCCTGTGCCCAGAGCTCCGCATCAGCCACCGCGGCAGGGCTGGGGGGATTAACGATGACCCTGCCAAACCCTTCGCTGAGGTTAGAGCCAAAAGGCACCAACGCTGGCATCCCTCCAGTGCGCGGGGGACATCCAGCAGGCACCAGCTCGCTGGTGACAATATGGTCTGCGGTGTGCAGATGGGCACGGGGAGCCCAGGGAGCCACAGGCCACTGCTAGGGATCACTGCGTGCCGGCACGCCGAGAACAAGCTCATCCTCACATCACATCGCGACGCGAAAGCTCAGCCGTTCTTAAAGGATGGCTGCCGGCTATAAACCATTTGCAGGCTGTGGGAAGTGGCCAGAAATAACGGCATCAGCTTCTTGGACAGCAAGGGAATAACGTGCAGTGCCTGAAGTGACCAGATGTTCTCCGAACATCTGGGACAACCATGCTGTATGAGACTGTTAAAGGCAAATGAAGATCAAGATGGGCTCTGCGGGACGACTGGATGCCTCTGCGGGGCACGGGGCAGCCTTCTGGTCCTCTGCAAGGCACCGGGGCTGGGGCAGGAAAGCTTCCTGAAATTATCTGGCTTGGGGTACACTGGATGCCAGGCTGGGTTCACCCTGGCTATAAAAAGGCTGATCAGAGGCCAAGGAGTGCCTAATGATGGAGAAGCCATGCTGGGGATGCCTGAACCCTGCCATGCTCTGCAGGGTGCCAGGGAAAAGAGGGGCTTCATCTGCATCAGCTCCATCCCAAGTGCATCCTCACGCTTTGCTGAGCAGACGGATGAGACAGCCTTTTCTGGATGGATTACAGGCAGGTTTGGTAGGATTTGCTTGTAATCGATAAACACTTAATTTTGCACTGCCCTTCTTCCCCAGACCCACCTGCCTAATGTCTGCATTGACCAGAAATTAGAAACTGGGCAGTAAACAATAGCAATCACAAATGAACCCAGGCTTTAACCATCAATTTTTGATAAAAATAGATGCCTGAATCCTGCTAAGCCTGATAATAGGGCAAATAGATTATCAGAGGCCCAATTTAATGAGGCTTTACTGCATTATCATTATTAATGCTCAGTGTACTCAGAAACTAGGAGATTATTCTTGTCCCCTTCAGTGAGAGAAGAAATCCATTATTGGCAGGCAGAGGTGTCCAGGCACACACACCTCTGCAGCCTGGCGGGGCCAGACCTCAGCTGCAGCCTCTTCTCTCCCCACGCTGGATCCCAGAGAGGATCCCTTTGTCCTGCCAGCACGGGGGAGCCCAGGCACATCCTCCAGACTGACGGAGAGTCCCTGGCACGTCCACACTCCCTGATTTTCTCCCCTTCAGCTCAGCCCCGCTCGTCTCTGCTCATACAGGGGCGAACAGCGGTGGGATGTCCCGGCTGAAGATGCTCTCCGACGCCAAGGCACTGTCAGCCAAGGCTACGTGCACCCTGGATGGCTCTTGGAGAGCCCCGTCCTCCTCCCCTCCCCGCGGGAGCCGTCCCCTCCCCTGCGTGCCGCTCCAGCCTGTGAAATGTGGCCAGTTCCTAATTGCCCCCACATTAGAGGGTGGCTGTAACTCAGCCAGCTTTTGATAAAATAGCACTTATGCGGGGAAGAGAGAGTTCCTATTACCGTTTATCAAGCCCCTGGAATGGGAGTGAAGGAGTCAGAGTTTATATGATCCGTCATCCAAATTAATGATCTTGGCTCCCCATCGCCTACAAAGGCCAAATGAAACACAACTAAATCAACACAAAACATACCGCTGGCTTTCAAACCGCTGAGCGATAACCAAAGATATGCCCGACGGCAACTCGGCAATGGGAAAAGGGATCCGTCTGCCTGTCGGTGAGATCCAGGCAGGGCTGCCTGCCTCTGCCCGGCCCTGCGATTAGCAGCTCATCTTGGAAGGCAGGGGAGGGGAGGGCAGTGCTCAGGAAGGTACGGCTCGGCTGGCCCCCCTCCAAGCCGACACGGCCCCAGCCAGCGGCTGCGAGGCAGCCAACGCCTCGGCCAGGATGTGTGCAAGACTTGGCTTTGAAGCGGATCCAGGGCGGTGTGAAGGATGTTGATCTCTGGAGCGGTTGCAAGAGTTCAAGCTCTCTTATCGAGCAGGGGAGGAATGGGAATACCTGCTCCGGCAGAGCTGGCCCCTTGCGAGGAGGCGGCACGGGGCTGCTCCCCTGAAGGCTTTGCAGGCTGTGCTGGACTCTCACGTTTAACGTGAGGTCTGTGTAGAGGCGGTGTGGCAGCACCATGTCTGCAGTCTGGATGCTTGCCACTTCACTGGGACGCCTCGGAGAGCGGGGCAGGGAAGGGACACACACAGATTTGCCAGGACTATCTGGCTATCTCCCCTCCAACCCCTGATCCACAGCTGGGATGTGCTCCAAGAGGCAGAGACAGCACTGAGCAGCTGCCTGAGTCCATACCCATACTGAAACCAGGGCTGTGGGGGACTTGGTTTCTCCCCTCGAGATGACTCTCATCACAAACCTGCTCATTTTCAAATGGGAGATGCATTCCCACCACGAATAGAGAAGACCAGCCTATGGTTCCCTGGAGTCCATATGCAGCCCAGACCCACGCTGGCACCCAGCACTCATGCACAGCTATGCAGGGTTTGGAGATCGCACAGCTGGAACCCAAGACCTGCTGAGACATTTGCAGCAGTACAGGCAGGCGTAATTAGTTTCATTAACATGGAAGAGTCAGAGCACAAGAGAGGTGTGAGAGGGGAGATTAAAGTGCTTCATATCACTAGTGCTTTGCAGAGAACAAAGCCATAAAAAATCCACCTGGGTATCAGATTCTTGGATTTAGTAACAGTGCCAACCAGAACGGCGTGGTTGATCTCCAACCCCTAAACCCTGCCTCGTACCTAACACACACAAATCTGCCTCACCTCCTCCTATGGCCAGGAGGAAGCTGGAGCCGCAGCGCCGGGACGCCGGCGACGCAGAGCTCCGGGTCCAAGCGCTGGCCGTGCCACCCAGCTCTACCAAGAAGCTGAGCTGTGCAAGATCGGATCCGCACAGGATTACGGCGCAGGAAGAGATCAAACCTGATTATCCGCTGCCAGTGGGGAGAGCTGGAGGGGAACTGTTTCACCTGAGCAGCAAACACGAGCACAGCTGGAGATGGGACTTCCCAGGTGGCAACACCACACCTCAGGGGGGAACTCCCTTTCTTTCAAGGTGAGCAGTCACCTTCCTTGCTTATATGCAAAGCACTCTGGAGGTGTGATGCACACATGGTGCTATTTATTGTTTAAAAAAAAATTTGGCCAAGTGCCACCAACCAACTCTTCTTACAAGCACACCATTCTGTCCAGAGGGACACAACTGCTTGAAAAATAAATACTTGGGCCTGGATCCTGGCTACCAGAGGGTGAGCTAGCACACTGATTTTCCAGCAAAGACCACAGCCCAGGTCCAGTGCAGATCTGCCTCATCAGTGTAGTCTCATCCACCTTCCATCTCCATGCATCAGCAGGTAATTTTTGCAGCTGCACCAATCCCCGTGCAGGATCCAGCAGTGGGGGACATCGTACCCACCCAGCCCGACCTCCCCGCTCCTCTGATCGTGCCACAGCGTCTCATCTTCACATGCAACTGAACCGTAGGGTGGCTACGAGGGGCAGGGACACAGACTCTGAACTTGCACAGTCTGACACGCAGATTAAAAACACATTTAGAGGATGGTCTCATCAGGACTTCCCGTCTCTCCTTAACCTTGATCCCCAGGTGCTCAAGCTAATAATGCTTCAGATGCTCTGCGGTGGGAAACTGAATTGCTCATTAGGCAGCCAAACCACATCAGAGCTATTCCGGGGAGAAAGCACTGGGAATCTTTACAGGAACCTTTGGACTCCGAGTCACAGTATTAGCATTGATTTTAAAGGAAATAATGGTCCCCGCTGAGCATTAAAAGCATTCTTTATAGAAGCCAGCAAGGTAGAAAAGAGCCATTGTACCCAGAGCCCTGGCATGCCTCCAGGCCCCTTTGCTCTCAAGTGAATGGCAGAGACGCTAATAAAGGCAATCTTCACCTCCTCAGCGCTCAACACTGGCCGGGTGTTTGCTGTAGGCTCAATGAGACATGATGTACTGTCTAATGAACATGGGAAATTAGCCATGCCTCTCTGGTCCTGCTTCAAGATGCTATTAAAGAGCTTTCAAGGGTTGAAGCAAGCTTTCACCTAAGAGGAGGAAAGCTGCTGGCTGAGTCCAGCTCCACACACTGGGCATTTCTGTGTGGATAAACACGCACCGACGTGCGCACTCTCCTACCTTCCTTGTCACCAACAGCGGGGCTCCTGCTCTTTCCCCTGGGACTGCTGCTTGGCTGCTGCTGCTCCTTCTCAGCCTGCTGCTGGGACTGCGATAGCTTGCTTGGGGGCACGTCCTCACGGGCAGACTCATGGGCTTTCGTGATCTGCTGCTGGTAGAGGGCCAAGGCATGGGGAGGAACCTGGGGCTTCACACTTCCACTCTGCAGTATCCCCTCCGAGAAACCTTCGGAAATCTGCAAAGCAATAAGAGCTGGTGACACTTGCCGTGTGCTGCTGACATCCATAACAGTCTTGGAGGCATCAAGGTGTTACGAGAAGCACCTGCCCCACACTGTCGCTGCAAGTCTTACCAGCCTGAACAAGGCTCCAAAGCTCACCAGCCAGAGGAGATTAAAAAAGCCCACAACAAAGAGTATCAGCTCTGTGCTGGTGACACTATAGGAGAGCCTCAGACTTCCCTTGTTTAAAACTTCTAATCTATAGTTAAGTGCTTGTAGCTTTTGCCAGAAGTTACATTACAGCAGCCACACCTTAAGCTGTAACATAGGAAACTGCAGGAGCATCAGGAATGGGTCCTCCCTGAGTTCTCAAAACCCAAAAGCAGGAATTTCCTCCCTGCCCGCCCTGCGATGCTGCTCCTCTGGTGTTGACCCTGGAGATACCAGGGTGCTTTTTGTCACAGCCCAAGCCACTGCACCAGGAGGAACCATCAGCCTTGGAGAATACATGTTCTTTTAGTACATGGCTACTGGGTAGCCAAAAAGGGGGACCAAGCAGAGCTTCTGCATAAGGAAGAGCATAAATGCTTCTTATGTGGTTCCTTCAAACACATGAGATGAAGAGAAGCACAGGGCTGGGAAGGTGCACACTCGCTTTTTAAAGCAACGGGAGGCAGCAGTCATGTGGCAATGAGAAGCTTTTTCTGTCCAGACCTCCCACGACTTTCTGATAAAAGAGCTCAAGGGACATCCAAACGTTGCTGGCAGAGCCGCTCCAGCAGCTGGGAACATGCTCTGCAACAGGGAGCACCTTGCCTGCTGCGGGGGCTCGCGCCGCCCAGGCACAGCTCTCTGCAGACCACGAGCTCAGCCATCCGCAGGGATGAGCACATCCTTGCAACCCTGACGCACGCCACGCAGGGGACGCGGCCCAACGGAACAGCATGCACGAGGCACACGCGGCCGCCGTGCTCTCCGTCCCGGCCCTCTCTGGTGGGGCACTCACGATGGGAGGGATGGCAGCAGCACGCTGCTTCAGCTGCTTCAGGTCCAGCGGCTTCTGCGGCGAGGAGTTCAGCCTGGCATCGCTGGCGGTGTTGAGCAGGCTGGGCCGGGGGGACAGCAACCTGGACACAAAACACGCAAGTCAGCCGGGCAATGCCATGGACAAGGTTCCACGTCCAATTGCTCCCCTGCATCCTGCACCCCTCTGTTTTATGCTACCAAGCCTAGAGGACATACTCTTCATCAGAGAGGAGCGCGCTGCACCACTGCTTGCTGCTGGGAATCTGGGCTCTTGAACACATCACGCGCTTGGGCTGCCAGCCTTGCAAGCTGCTGCCCTGGCCCCAAACCTGTTTAGATGGCAACCACCATTCCAAAGATCTCGGCATCCACCATGAGGATGACTGTCTGACAGGAGGCCGCTCAGCAGGACGGGGGACCCGCGGCTGCCGGGGAGGTGTCTCAGCCTTGACCTTGATGGGCTGCAGACGCTCCTGGGTTGTTTTGGTCTACGAGGGCAGGCACAGAGGGGAACGCAACCCAGCCCAGCAATGCCCAGCTAGCAACTGGGGCAGCTTTGCCATGGGATGACAAGGCTGAGGGGAGGTGGAGAGCGGGATGGGATTCAAATCCCGCTTTCCAGAGAAGACAACCTCCGCAGGGCTCCATGCTCAAATGAGACCGTTACATCCAGCTCAACAGGCTCTTGAGCCCTTTTTCCCTACGCTAACTCTTTCTAGCAAATCTGTTGCTGTTGTCCAGAATACACCCGAGGGAAAAGTGGAGCCCGGAGCCAGAGCTGGCAGTTACAGAGCAGGGCAACCAGTTCAGATTTCATTTGGGCATCACGCCACTCTGCAGTGCTCGCCCGGCACTTGGGATTGGCCTCATGCTCCTCTTCAAGGACTGTCTTTTATCAAGGTGCTAAAGCCTGGGCAAGCAACAATGTGCAGGCAGCCAGGGCGCTCGGATCGCTTGAAAGACAAGAGGTTGGATTTGGACGGGATTTGGTGTTCAGCCCAGTGGCTGTGCAGCCCTGCACCCTCGCCATTTGCTCTTTTCCTTGGCTGGTGAGCTGGCGGCCTGGTAGACACTTAGATGGCCGCACTGAGCCCCTGTGCAAACGGCGAGAGATGGGCATCTCCATGGTGCCGCCGAAATGGGATGGGGATGGAGGTGTGCGAAGTTCATGTGTCAAACTCTCAGTGTGCCCAGCTCCTGAGCCCATGCCGAGACCCGAGGGACCACATCTCTCCAGGCCATCTCCACTTTCTCTCCCTCCTGACTCCACTTTGTTGAAGCCAGTTCATAGTTTTCAAGCTTTACAGCTTGATTTGTTTATTTTAGCTGTTATTTCACTGTTCTCTTCAGCCTATAAATTTCAAGGTCATCCTATGCTCACCCTTGGATGAATAAACAAGCGTGGCGGGGCCATGCGCGGGGAATGAACTCATCACGGTGCTGGGACTGCCCCAGTCCTCACTCTGCACAGCGCTTGGTATTGGAGGAGAAGGGGACCCACCTCCAGATTGGGACCAGGTGCTCCGGTTAAGCACCCAGGGGAGACCAGGTGAGGGGCAATGAATCCAAGCTGCACCCTGAATAATCGCAATGATGGCTGCCCATGGAACCGCATGGCTGTTGTGAAGTCAGGCTGGGGAGGAACGCGGCTCCCGGCAGGGTGCAATGCCCCAAAGGCTGCTGAGACGCGTGGCCAGGGACAAGGGCACCTGGCACTTGCTCCCAAGACCTTCACGCCATCTGCAGCACTGCTCTTCTGGGGCTGCCAAGCTGGGGACACCCCGTATTCGCAGCATGCTCTGCAGCCCTGGCCCCACACCCCAGCACTTTGGGCTCTGATTTTGCCCCAAAGAAGCCAATCTTTTTTTTATTATTTTTAAAAACGGTCAATTTTTTTCTGGGCAAGCCTCATCTAGGAGGCAGGGCAGCCAGCGCAGGCTGCCAGCACCACACTGGCTCCCCCCCCCGGGAGCCCAGCCCCCCCCGGCCCCGCCCCCGGGGCCCGGCGAGGGCCTCCCTCCCTGCCACTTCACGCCCGATGCCAGCACTGCCAGGCCAGTAACACGTCACCCCCAGGCTGAGACGGGTCCTGGTGCTCACCAGGAGGTGACAGACCTGGGAGTGCTGGCCCAGCTCCATGTCACTGTCACTGCTAGTGGTACAGGACAGATCTCAGCAGCTGCACTGCTCTCCTCCTTAGCAGCGATTCTTGCGGGACACGTAGCTAAACAGCCCAATTTTCCAGAGGCTGGCAAGCTTGATCAGCAAGCGGGGTCCTGCCAGCCCTGGCAGCCCCCGGCAGAGCAACCGCCCCAGCAGCCACCGTGTGCACTCGTGGCACTTGCAGAGATATATTTAAGCACCCATAAGGTCCCTTTAAGCACACTTAAGATCCTCAGGTTTCCTAAAGCCCTCCAGGATCCTGATGCTTAGGAAGCCAGAGTCAGTATTAAATTCATCAATATGCAAATTGCGTAATTTATTATGTCCCTCCCAGCAGCTCCTGCACTGGACACAGGGCTGTCTGTTGAGTGATTTGCTCTGGAAGTCACTGGATTAACAACCCTTAGCATCTTGTATCCAACCGCTGCCAAACCGGGGCCTCCCAAATCCAACCGCCAGACCCTAAACACAGGTTGATGGCATTGGGAGGGATGGGAAAAGGATTTGAGTGGGACGGGGTCAGCACACACACAGCTGAGCCTCGGCGGTGTGGAAATGTCCCCTCCCAGGCACAAAGCTTTGGGGGTGACCTAGACACCACATTCCCCAAACCCCTTCACCTTCTGCCATGGAGATGGGGACCAGTTTCATTGCCAGATGAGCCAACACACTGATACGTGACCCAGCCAAACGCAATTCCTTGCACACGCAGTGGTTGTGCAAAGGTGACGGCTACCAGATTTCCCTGGCGAGCTCCCCCAAGCCGGGGCCACGGCAGCAACGTGGCGCTGGCCTGGCACAGCCCTCACCCCTACGGCTGAGCCAGTGACCGGGACGCGCAGCGCAGGGGTGGCTCGGTGCAATGCTTACGGGCAGGCGTCTCCTCTCTGCGCTGCAGGTCTGCAGCGGGTGACTGTGGACGGCCTCCCTCCCGCGTTCCCATCTGGCGTGACCTCCCGCTGAACCCCAGCACCGGCAACTCCCGCTCA